TTCTCCTTAGGGTTCTCATTCGGCACCGCCTTCAGCTTCAACACATTCATCGGTGATGGCAAAATGTTCATAGCCTCTTCACATTCTAATTGATAGAATAGAAATGCAAACTGTGATGCTAAATTGCGTATTTATACTTTTGTAGGATGAGATAGTTATGGGCTCTTCTCTTCTTATTATTTTAACGTAATTTTAAACACGTTTTTATTTATTATTTTTAAATTAATTTTAAAAATTATCCTAAGTATAATACTCAAATAATAGTTATAAAGTAATACCTTTTCATTCTTAATCTATATTTTCATAATTTATAAACATTAGTCTAAAAATATATTTTGAGTATATTAAGTTTTTTTCTGTATATATGTTTTTTTTATCCTTTTAAAGATATAGTAAATCAAACACTAGTTTATAATTATACATTGTTATGCAGTTTTAATTTTATAACATTAGGAGCATACTCCTTAATGGATTTTTTACTTTCAAAATATGTAAGCAACATTTTCACAGAATGAGAATATGCATAAGTATAGTGTTTTTTTGGAAGAACTAAAATTGCAAAAGGCGTTTGCAGTATTTATAAATCCTATTTTTATAACAAAAACTAGTTGAAATAAAAGCAAAAAAACAAAGATCACAACTATTATTATGCAACTAAAAAATACAGATTGATAATATTATGTCTTAGTTAACCAATAATGAAACTTTGTTAGCGAAACCTTTTTGTTTTGGCTCAGCAAGTCTCCATGTTGATTCTTTATTCTTGAAACCGTGCTTCACAGTCATCTGAGTATTCTTATGGATTGAAAAAAATGAAATCTGACCCCAGAAAACTCATCACTGTCTGTAGTGTTACTGCTAATGGGATTCACTGCTAAATTATGGTCGAGTAATTATAGTTTGACAGTGGTGTTACATTATTAAAGTAGAGCAATTCCGTTGATTATTGAATAGTTTATTATGACATGTATAAAGTGGATATAGAAACTAGTAAGCAGAACAACTTCTCTTTTCTTAACTCAACTGAAAAACAATACAATACCATCAAAACTTACGGAATACCCAATGAATGATCATTGCTAAAATAAGGGCTAGTTTCTACTTTTCGGGGGAGGGTATGTAATACATGGTAACAAACTTAGCACACCATAAAGCAGAAGCCATAAATCACCACAAGTTTATTTGAAAATGCAGCTTCTAGAGGCTTTTATCTATCAATGACATTTTTTTTTT